CCTTGCGCCCTTCTGAGGCTGTTTCCGATCTCTGTTTCGTATTTAACGTAATTAGGCTGTGTTGTTCTATACTTAAGAAAGCCACGACTATGTTGTGATGTTGGTCTTGAAAACCAACATAGTTTCAATTTAACATATTTCACTTCCGTAACGGGCAAGTGCCCCATAAGAATTAACTGGAATCAGATTTATCGAAGAACTCGATTTAATTTTTCTCCATTTCGCCCAGCCTTGGTTGATCTCTTGCTTGCTATTTTGTCTCTCCCCATTTGTTATTTTGCCCTTCGAAACATCAGGCCCTCCAATTTTTTTTATTGAATTTTTGAACAAAGAAGTCTCAGTGTCACTTACACATACACATTTAAATTGAGATAGCTTAAGAGAAGCTGTATACAATGAAAAATTACTTGGGTTCAATTTTAACCCGAGGGAGGGTGCAAACAGCAACTTCACGATATTTTAGATTGTTTTAACCCAATTTGGGTGATTGAAATTAATTTCTGGCTTGTTTTAACCCTGAAGTCAACGGGGCGGTGATACAGATCGACAGGTATCACCAAATTTGGTAATAACTTTTTCCCAATGGTCAACTTGGCAAAGATTTCCTGTAATCCTCACCCAAGGCTAGATCCCAACCACTGCCGAGTTATAATTCTTGAAAGATCAGTCACCACTGACAAGCCCCTGTTGTCTATATCAGGAACTGGATCTCTTTGTGTACAGACATGTGCCGACTAATCGCGGCTGTTTGAGTTATACTTCCGCGGCAGAATAATGGAATTTAGTTAGAGGGGACCGCAGGGATGTATTAGCTATCATAAAACAGTCGTACAGGTTGTGCAGTTTCAGGCATGTCCGGTAGTTGACCTGGAGACAAAAATCACCTCATGGAGTAACGGCGTGATTTTTAGGGCGTGCCTACTCTTTTGTTTACAGACATGTGCCGACTGGTCGGCTGTTTGGGTTGTGACCAGGTATTACTTACACTTTCACAGCAGAAAATGGAATGTAGTCAGAGGGGACCTTAGGGGTGATTAGCTACCATAATAAAGTCGTTCAGGTTCAGGCATGACCAGGAACTGACCTGAAGACCACAATCACCACATGGAGAAAGGGTGCGTTTTAGGGGCGGAGTCTGCTCGGAAGGTCAAACAATGGTTAATATCCACTCAATTTGTGGGTGAAAAATGAAATTTGGGTAGTTGCAGCTTTCACCATTCCTTGGGTTAACATTTAACTCAGGCTACTTTTCAGTGTAACCTGTGGACTGTGAACCTTTGAAATCTGTTTCGGTGGACAATTTTTTCAAAGTACACTGTGCACTTTTTGAAATGAAATACGACATCCAGATGCACCTCTGCACTGGATCTACAGTGGTTCCATTGTATTGCAACACACTCTCTTGACATTTGCTTATCAAGTGATGAACAAAGTGTTTGCATTAAAAATGGTTACGTCTTTCCATAGTAAATAAAGCACAAGGAATTAAAACAATTGCACTCTATTACTTGACTTTGCACCACCTGCTAAAGCTCTTACAATTGTTGAAAGCCAGTGAGTACTTATAAGTCTCATCCCCAATCTTTGATCTTGCCCTTTTTATGACTTCATCGGGTGGATAACAATCATTTTCATCATACACAAGCCTGTAAACAGGAGGTCTAAATTCAACAGACTCTTCCACAACACCATTTTGATAAGTGTTATGAACCACCTGCACCTTACCCTTGTCACACTCAACGACTATAGCGTGGTGTCTAGGATGTAGCAGGTTACCATAGAAAACAACCTGGTCGCCCGGGTTGAGGTCGTCAGTTTTCAGCACTGCCCTGTCATCAGTGCCGATAGTTTTGGCCAGAGCCCGACCGATCGGCGATCCTACAAAAGACCCGAGGCACTGACCAAATACTGAACCGACCACACCCCCAACAACACCTCCTATGAAAGCCCCCAGGACCGTTCCAAAGCCCGGATTAATCAATGTCCCCACCACTCCACCAACAACAGCCCCAGCTACCCGTCCACCCACACCGAGTCCAGCGCTGACAACGGCTTCGGTGACACGACCCAGCACGCTAGCCACAAAATCACGCCGTGATATGCCAGCCTTTTCTCGCTTTTTGTAAATCTTTTTGAGATCGAAAACACAAGCAAGGCCCTCAAAGACGAGGATGATGCCAGCACCTATGGCACCAGTACCTTGCACAAGATCTTTTATTGTATGTACAACTACGTTGCCAGCTGCCTCTACCCCTTCCCCCAGAAATACCTTGGCACCTTCCTCGACAAACTCCTCAATAGCGAACTCAGAAACACTCCCTGCAATGTGTATTAACGCTTCCTTCATTACCGCTCTGATCTTTTGATACAGCCACACAACCTGGTGGCTCTCTGCATGTCCACTCTTGCAATAGGATGCAAAAGCTTCACAGTTGTCAGATAACAACTCATAGCCTGTGTCTCCTAATCTAGAGCCGGCTCTGGCTATGACCAACTCGGGGGGGTTAGCCTTAGTTATCTTGGCAGGATAATCAATGCGGAACAATTCACCTTGCTCTTCACTTAAATCAAGCCAGTTTTCTGTGATTTGCACCACACCACAATCCGACTTTCTCCAGTGAAAAGCCTTAACTTTAATTTCCCTCAGACCGATTTCTGAAATGATCGCATGATGCCAGTAGCCCCGGCAGCGACGCCAGGTAATGTGATCGCCTACTTTCAAGCAATAAAAACGAGTTCCGATCTCGGTGCGACTGGCCTTTACCATGAAGGCTGGGTTGTTCTCTGTGGGCACTTTCAGCTGTTTCTTGAGGAGAGCACCTCTGACCTTGAATGAAGGACGGGTGTTGTCGGTGTCTGGATGGAACAGAAACCGTTCCTCTAACCACTCCTGGCCGCATTTAGTGCAGCAGATCCCGATCACTCGAGAGTTACCATCGTTTCCTTTACTGAAGTAGCGCCGGTACTTCAGAGTTTTGTCATTGGCACAGGAGCATTTCGGGAGTGTCTTTTGTGGAGCTGTGAAAAATGCAAGAGACATTTAAAACAACATTGTTTCATTTCAGCCTTAAACTCAGTGTTCAAATTGGAAGTAACTGTCTTTTAGAGGAAATGGGAAAATCGATAGGGACTATGAAAACTGACACTAATTATAGCTTGGCCACTTCCCTCGACGGAAAGTTAAAAAAAAAAAAGATGGAAAAGTCTCGATCTTACCAAGCTCCCTTGCGAGGTTATTGAAGCCGATTGCAATCAGAGCTCTGGCTAAGTACTCCACTGGGCTATCGCCACCGAAGTGATGTCTCCAGTTAGCCAACATCTGACCAGCTTGCTCTCTCGGTGTTTGAAAAGCTGCTCTGATCGTTTCGCACTCTTCAACGCCAAAGGAAAGATGCACTGCCAACTTGGGCCAAGACTCACTGATGCCTCTTGCTACATTTTTGAGTGACGACGTGTCCAGAATTTCTTCGCCTAGCGTTTGAATAAATCAAGATGAATCATAGCAGTGGCAGAGTTAGCAAAGCGAGGGCAGGCGTCTAATTTGCTTTTCTTCATCGGCCAAAGGATTTGTTTCTGTTTAAGGAAGACCTTAACTAGAACCATCATAACCAACTTCACATCAGTGTTAATGAACGAGGCTTTGTCACATTCATAGCCTGCCGGTAATTCATTGTAATTAGCACACGTCCTCAATTAACGTATGTCTAGATGAACTTGTTACTCACCGAGATCCTGAAGCAGAGTGAACAATCCCCCGGCACGGAGAGCACCTTTCAGGTCGCCCATCAAGTCTGTCCCAGTGTAATCTGCTCTCCACGCCATAAGCATTTGCCGAGCCTGCTGGCTGAGTTGGTCCGGGTGGGATGCGATAATGGCTTGGCACGCCCCGTCATCGAAACCCAGATAAGTAGACACAGTCGGCCATGCTTGACCGAGCGAGTTGGCCACATTCTCAAGTAACTCATCATCAAAATCGTCTTAAATTGGCGACCAAAAGAAAAAAACGCGTGGAACAGTCGGCATAACCGTGATTCAAATTCCGCTTGCATGTGCATGTCGTTTGTAGTTACATTTTATAACCTTGGAAATTTATATTAAAATACAGCTGTGAAAGTAGCAACAAGAGCAACACCTTCAAGTTGAATCGAACATGCCTGTTAACCACATCTTACTCTATGGACCAAGAGTTAAAGGTTAAAAGGAACAAGCAGGATTATGTACTCGGCAATTCTGTGGGAAATGCCATCCTTTCTTATTTTGTTGTTGACGTTTGGTTGCACTGCACACTCAGGGAGTAAAGGAAGAGAAAACAATACGGCAAACAAAAAAATGGCAGACCTGACCGCCTCGAAAATTTCAGGGTCTGCCCCTATCTCCCCGTCTACCCCGGGTATATTTTTTTTGTGTTCTCTTTCCAGTTACACGCTTAGTTGGTTTCCGAACAGCTTGATTCTTACTGGATTCCAGGCAGTGATGGTCGTCTATCAGCGAAGAAATGCCGTTCTATCCTTTGTGCATAGACGATTGTGTATTGCATACCAGACAACTCCATGTTCATTTAGTCTATTACACCATAGGAGATAAACTGGTATAGAGATTGCTTTGGCCTTCGGCGCTCGATAACAGAAAAATAACCACAAAAATTCTTGAAGATTCTGCAGATCTTACCTTGTCCATCCATTATCCCTGCCTTCACACCCAAGGGATGACCTCGTTCCAAAACACTGACCTAAAATCCGCGGGTGCATACGTGTTGCAAGTGTTTGTCACGAAGTCTTAGATTCATTTGCCACACTGTACATAATCTGGATTCAACATACTACAGTACGCACACTCTTTCAAAAAAGGCCAAAGTCCGACTTCCAACTTCGCTATCAGTAATAAGCAGTGGATCAGACAACGAGCCGCGTAAACGATCCGAAAAAACTCCAAACTATTTAATTATTCTGAGGCTTGAAATTTCCGATGCAACAAAGACGTTAAACAAGATCACACTGATATAAGGAACAATAAACAGGTACGGTTTAATGAGAATGTTAGTCTTAGCATGTAAAGAAAACAGTAACAAAGAAAACATTGATTGGAACTAGTTTACAATGGTAAGGAATATGTCATATAAACGAACTGTTCGGGCGAAGCAGAGCCTGGCAAGGCACTACAGTAAAGCATGTTGGACTCCACAGACGGGGGAAAACAGTGCAGTCCTTGACGGTGCAGCAACAAGCTGCCGGGGGACGAAGACCACGTCCAATAAGAATGACGGGCTCGAGACGAAACGGCCTCGGCGCGGTGACCGTCGAAAATACGGGAACTGGATGATCCCACAAAACTGGAACTGGGTTCAGTTCACAAACTGTCTCTTCTGGAACAAAATTCAGCTCTGCACTTCACTTGGTCTGAGGAACTTAAACTTTTCTTACAAGTGTCGCTCCACAAACAACTCGCCACCACAGGTTAAAATGGTGCAAAAGTCAACGAGTCAAAGACTTTTCACAGCTTGCGTAGGTAGATTGCCTTCCAAAATCTCTCTTGCAGGGTGTGTGTGTCTCTCTCTCTGTCTCTGTCTTTCCCGGTTTTTACATAAGAAGAAATTACTCTGATTAGGCCTACTTATATTTCTTAAAATGGACGTTTTAGCATTACTTATATTTAACAAGAAACTTCCAAGACATAACCTGGAAATATCATCAGCTTACATGAAATTTCCCGGACGTACAACGAGAATATTCATGACTACTCTTTCACTGCTGCCAGGGTCAAACACGGGTCACACACAGAATTGTGTGTGGCGTACCATTCACAATAATCTGCCACACGTACAGAGAATGTGTGTGTAAACGTAACAAGGGAGCTTGGTTCTCAAAAAGTAGTCGACTACATCACTGCTGCTACGCGAATGGTATTTTTGGCTGTGTAAGCCAGGAAGCTTAGGGAGCGATGCTGTGTGTCTGGTCAATCAAGATACCAAATTTTGTGGGTTAGGTCACACTTAGTAACAGGATTTCAATAACCCCAAATCCCCCTCACAACAGGAGGATTGTTCACCAACCAGCACTGCGAAGTGGATTCAACCACCTCAAAGCAAGATTATTCAATGTTCAGGGTAAAGTGACTACCACAGTAGATAATAATACCTTTCCTATTCAACATTCTTACTTAAGGTTAGTGGATCTTCAATTTAAGCATGTCAATTACATATTTTCAACATATGATTGATAATGGTATGGATAAAGTCCTTATAGCGGTTAAAAAGTTAAGAGTTTCTTTTCCATACGAGTGCCAATTTATATCCTTGGGTGATATTAATAATCCAGGTGCTGTGTAGCTTAAATGGATGCCCTGCGTTTTAATTAAGGAAGCTATGCACTGAGAATGTTAATGCTAAAGATCCATGCAGCTTAATGACTGTATAAATACCGTACCTCATTGAACGAACAAAACAGAGCGTACGTGTCAAAAGGAAAGAGAATTGTTCCCATTTTTGTAAATGAACTTTGAATGCAAAACCTGCAAGTCACTCAAACCAAATTTAGACGTGATAGTGAAAAACAGTATCGAACATATCCAAGGAAATATGAAAAGAAGATTCTTTCTTATGTTAACAGCGAACAGCGTCACAAACCACAACATATCTGCGTGCATATCCGAATTTAAAAGTGCACATAGAGTTATGCATAAATTTGTTTATTAAGTGTCATGCTTTTTTCCATTTTTCGCCCTCTCTTTTCCCACCTCTGGACAGATTCTATACAAAAGTCCCTCAATCACTTCAATTCCAACAGAAAACAGTTGTATAAATTTTCCTTGTAAATTGATACACGTGACTCTGAAAACAGACTCTGATGAAAATCAGTACAATATCATTTGAAAGGCTTAATTATATACAATTTGAAAGGGTTGAAACACTACGTTTATTTACCAATTTCAACCATTCAAAGTTGAACATTATTTTAACAACCATTCAACAGCATGAAGTTTACAGATACTGAAAAGCTATGTCAGCGCCACCAGTAGGGTTAACACCGACAAACACAACTTTAAAATGCAATATACCTAACGTCGCCCTACCCGGGCATTTCATATATACGGCCAATCATGCCGGCTTTAAATTTTTTTTGCTGCAAATAATGCCAAAAGAAGGAACGAGTTCAATATTCAATTGGCAGCGCCCAGGAGACTGGTTATTGTAACACATGCATCTATTGGTAGTAGCAACAGCTGTTAGTAGGTGGCTAGCCTTCCGAAAAAAAATGTCGGAGAGCCCTATCCCCACAGCTGTGTTCAAATCCCCGCAGGTCGAAAGTGAACCGCGCACAAGCAAGTGGTGTACATGTATGTATCGCGCACGTATCATAAAACAACCTCAAGAAATACAACCAAACGCGTAACGAACAGGATACTTAAAAAGACTTTCAAACTCTTAGATGTCTATGATAAAACTTGCAATTGTATTATATAGTTTATTTGACTTTGCACCACCTGCCAAAGCTCTTACAATTATTGAAAGCCAGTGAATACTTGTAAGTCTCATCCCCAATCTTTGATCTAGCCCTCTTTATGACTTCATCAGGTGGGTAGCAATCCTTTTTGTCATAAACAAGCCTGTACACGGGAGGTCTGAATTCAACTGATTCCTCCACAACACCATTTTGGTAGGTGTTATGTACCACTCTGACCATACCCTTACCCTTGTCACACTCAACGACTATAGCGTGGTGTCTGGGATGCAGCAGGTTGCCATAGAAGACAACCTGATCACCAGGGTTGAGGTCTTCAATGCTCTTTACTGCCCTGTCATCGGTGCCGATGGTGGTGGCAAGTGCACGGCTGATCGGCGATCCTAAGTAGGTTCCTAAATACCTGCCAAATGTGGATCCCACAACACCTCCAACAATACTGCCAATGAAGGCCCCAACGACCGTTCCTAACCCTGGGAATATGAGCGTGCCTGCCCCTGCACCCGCACTGGCTCCAGCCATTTCCCCAGCGATACCTCCCCCAACCGCAAGCCCGGCTCCAAGGACCGCTTCAGTAACCCGCTGGAAGGTGCTTGCTATGAAATCTTTCCGTGAAACATCACCCTCTTCCCGGGCTTCCCAAATCTTGCTAAGATCAAACACGCACGCGCAGCCCTCGAAGAAAACGATGAAACCAGCCCCAACGGCATTAGTGCCATTAGCAAGCCTCTCAAACGTTTCGGCGGCACCAACTCTAGCTGCTGCTGCCCCTCCTTTCTCAAGAAATACTTTTGCACCCTCTTTAAAGTACTCTTTGGCTACGATGAAGCCTGCTTTGGTAAAGCCTTGAACTACGTTAGTCAGTACTTCTCTCATGACCGATTTGGTCTTCTCATAAAGCCAGACAACCTGACAACTCTCTGCAAGCCCAATCTTACAGTACGAAGCAAACGCTTCGCAGTTGTCAGAGAAAAACCCGTAACCAGTGTCATCCAATCTAGATCTAGCGCGGGCAATCACTAACTCTGGAGTATTAACCTTAGTTATATCGACTGGATAGTCAATACAGAACAATTCACCGTCTTCCTCTATCAAATCGAGCCAACTTTCGATGATCCGTATCCCACCACACCTCGACTTGCTCCAATGAATGACCTGAACTCTCGCTGTATTAGGATCGATATTTGATACGATGGCGTGATGCCAGTGGCCCAACCAGCGATGCCAAGTGATATGATCTCCTACCTTCAGGTAATCGGCTACAAAACGGAAATTTTCAATTTTCGTGCGACTACCTTTAACCATGAATGCTGGGTTTTGCTCTGTGGGTACCTCAAGTTGTTTCTTCAGGAGGACACCGAAGACTTTGACCGAAGGGCGGGATTCGTCGGTGTCCGGGTGGAACAGGAACCGTTCGTCCAACCACTCCTGGCTGCAGTTGGTGCAGCAGATGCCAAGCAGTCGCGGATTGCCGTCATCTCCCTTGCTGAAGTACGATCGGTACTTGAGAGCTTTATCGTTGCCACAAGTGCATTCTGGGAGTGTCTTTTGGGGTGCTGTGAATGTTGGAAAGAGAAAATTGCTACAGAGACACTGATGATGCAACCTATGGGACTGATAATTTAGATCCTAATCAAGTTGGCAATCGCACGAGAATGTCAACATCCCATTATTTGGTGAAACTTGTAAACAATTTGTGTTCTCATTTTCACAAATGGAAATCGAACAGTTATGTCGTTGTTGCAGATTTCAGTAAAATCTTTGATCCGATGAACTACAGCATCGTTATTCAAGATTTTCTAAACCTGCATGGGCACTCGGCCATCGTTAATCCCTTGGGTGTGCAGCTTCTTAGAGGAGCGCTCACAGTGTGTTCGCTACAAAATCAGGTTTCTGAATTGGAACAACTTGAATGGTGGCGTACCACGGGAACCCAAGTCTGGCCGAATGGATTTTTTAGCCTAATTCAAGGGAACTCTGAGTACGAGTTACAATGGTGGCCAGATCCTCGGTCTCAAGTATGTTGACGATATGACAATTATTTAGAATTCTTGCATTGGTGACAAGGAATCATTTCAATCAACCGTTAAAAATTGTTGTGATTGGGCTGTCCAAAATGATGTGAAGCTAAACCAAGTTATATGTGCGAACATGGTTGTTTGCGGGAAGGATCTGCAAGAGGTTATTCCACTGAAGATGTGCTCTTAAGACTTAAAAATTGTCGACGGTGTTAAAATATTAGGTGTTACAATTAGTTCTGGTTTGAAATGGGAACTTCATTTTTCCCAAGTTAACCATAAGGTTAGTACAGTAATCAGTTATATATATTTATATATAATAATACAGATTGTCAACAAATCATCGACTGACAGTTGAATCCTTATTACTCGATGATTTGTTGACAATGTACAAAGGGTGTGTCGGCTCTTTGTTAGTGTATGCCGTGCCTGTTTGAATTACTGGAGTAACTGTCTCTCAAACTGCTATGTTGGAGAGAGTGCAAAAAAGAGCTGGTTCTGGCAGTTTGTGTTACGACCATGCCCTTCAACAGCGTCACTTGACAAACCTTCAACAAAGAAGGGAAAACCTCTGCCTTTAATTTGTAATGAACATGTACACACCCCATGTGTGAATGGTTCCCTCAGAAAGTTAAACAGAGGGTGCAAAACTCTCTCAGAAATTGGAATTGTCTCCCTCAAATCAAGTGCACAACGACTACATACAAAAATAGTGCACTCCCATGTTTTGTCAAGCTTTTAAGTGATTTGTAAGTTTTTCTTATTTTTACAATTGGTAGAATGGTTTGATGTTTTAATGTTTCAACGAGGCTTTTATTTTGCATGTATTTTGGTATTTTTAGATTTAATACCCAGCTTTTGTTTAATGACCTGTAAATTACTAAGCTTGAATAGTGTACTTGAATGTAATGGAATCTTATATAATGCATATTTATGAACATGTTCATGCTTTAAACCAACTTAAATGTTTTATGAAATTGCGCGGTTTTATTATTGGCTGTTAATAAATATTATTTGATTTAATGTACATTTTGTTGCAACGTAGCCCATGACTACATTACAATTTACAGCAAACCATGAATCAATAAATCAACACATTGAATAAGCAAGACAAATATCTAAAGAGTGAAAATTTCTCGCAATAAGAATGGACTTTTTACTTTAAAAACATTAGAGTGGGAATATTCAGTTGGATTTGCAGACGTGGTATATAATATTAGGATTCAAGGGTTTATTTTTCACAGAGAGCCAGACACAATTCCGTCAACCAAAGATGCGTCACCAAAAATCTATTTTTTAAATTCAGTTTATCGCAAACAAACTCGACCTCTATTCCATTAGCAAAATGCAGCTCTCACCAAGACCCCTGGCGAGATTGTTCTGGTCCATCGTCATCAGAGCCCTGGACAAGTACTCCACTGGGTTATCGCCGGTGAAGTTGCGCCTCCAGTTCGCCAACATCTGACCCGCTTGTTCTTTTGGTGTTGAGAATGCTGTCTTGATGGCCTGGCACTCCTCCAAGTTGAAGAGAAGATACAGGGCCAACTTAGGCCATGATTTACCCACGCTCTTTGCAATTGTCTGGAGAGTTGCGTCATCCAAAACCTCTCCACCTGTTCTTGTCAGGACAAAACAGAAATTCTTATTGTAAATCAGGTTTTATTGCGAAAATGCATGATGGGCAAATGCTGAAGTCTCAAAACATGAGAAAACAACAAAACATGAGAAAATGCATCACAGAATAAAATGTTGCTACCTACCGAGGTCATGAAGCAGCAAGAACAATCCAACCGCTCTGACTGCACCTCTCAGGTCACCAAGCATGTCTGTCCCTGGGTACCTAGCCCTCCAAGTAGTCAGCATCTTCCGGGCTTGTTGGTCCATGTGACCCGGGTGAGAGGCGATGATGGTCTCGCATTCACGGTCGTTGAAGCCCAGATAGGTAGACACAGTCGGCCAGGCTTCACCGAGCGATTTGGCCACATATTCAAGCGTGTTATCATCGAAAACCTTTGGAGCTGAATGCAGGAAAGAAGCATGCAGTTAGACAACTTGGTTTTACGTGTGCTGCAAGGAGTCTAGTGTATAGGATTTCAGAAGCAATATGAAACACACTGGCATATCCGGGAAGTTCAAGAGGGGTCATGCACTAGGCCACATTTTTCTTTTTCAACAAAACAACAAACAACGATTTTCTCCTTCAGGAAGGGTATAAAAAAATTTTAACCTCACCCCTTCAGAGAGGCCATCAAAATGTTTGCTTTAAAGAAATCCTAGACTTTCTCGGTTGCTCCTGAAAATCATTTCCACCAGCCCCAGCATACGCACAGAAATTTGGTTACAGTTCCGTTTTGGGTCGTACGATTTGCCACATATTGAGACTGAAAACTGCTGTGCCGGATGGGGAAAATACACGTATTCCCATGCCTTCCAACAGCTGGCTCACTCGGTGAGTCAATCAGTAGGCTGTGTATTTTCAAACATATTTTCGCAAAATTGTGCTGAAATAATGCTTACTGAGTGCTCACAACACGAATGGACCTAGCATGGGCCTAGGAATAGAGTTTGGATTGAAGTTTTCTTTTTCTGTTTTGCTGCATGTGAATGCATGGGCGTAAACCCCGGGAAAGGGGGGCACATATATCTCTCCCCCACTGTTTTAGTAAGGAGAAAAAAATAAAGGGAATGTGAAGAATTTTCAGGACTTCCCAACGACTGAAATGTTTGCAATATCACTATAAAGGGGAAACAGTTTTGGAAAGCCATAAATTTGCCACTCTGGTGTAAGATTCTGCATGAATCTGACACAGACGTACATCTTTATAATGAACATCGCTCCCCCCTTTTCAAATTTCCTTGGCCCGACAAGTAATCGCCCATAGGGCTATTCGATCGAGTATCGAACATTTGAAAACTATTTTCCGACAATCTACCGGTCGGTACGACCGAATATCCAGATATTCGATCGAATTGAGGGTCGATTACTCGTATAGTGAATTAATCGAATTGACTCAGCCCTAATCCCCCACCCTTCCCGAATCCCACAATTTCCAAAACAGATTTACGACACTGTGTAAATGGGATATCGATCAATCGGTTATAATCTAAAGTTTGAATTTACATCGTTATCTAAAGTTACAATTTGGCTGTGGAGGATCCCCCTTTTATTTTCAAACTGTCTGCAAAGTGAATCGTGTATTAATGATCAGCTTGATAAATGCGTACAGTTACCCGCCAATTTACCAATGTACAATTTTGACGGGACCAAAGAGGTACCCTGGTTGTGCAAACTGACTTATGGCGGAACACACACGTATCAGTGCCAACTGTCGAACTGTGAACTCCCCGCAAATTTGTAACCTAGCTCACCTTGCATGGTGTTTATCCCTGGCCTACACAGAACGTGAACCGCATAAGCACTCAATCCTCAGAAAATTAAGGACGCAGAACACGGAGAAATTACCGATAACGTTAGGAATATCACACATTTGACCAAGGGGTCAATACCACGCTCTAATCAGTAAACAACTGTGTTTGTCTGCATGGCAGGCTATATTCAGGCAGACGGAAATCCCCCGAACTGTACATGTACACACCGTTGGGGGAAATTCCAGTTGTTGACAGATAGCCTGGCAGGCAGTTCAACACTGAAGCGTACAACGGTATTTGTACTAGGCCCTCGTTACCAGGGGAGTTTGCAGCTGCGAAAGATACCGTAGTTAGCTATGCAAGCTGTGCTTTTCCATTTCAAGAAGCGTTTACGTCGTCCCCTGCTTTGTCTATTACAGTTTCAAGAACTTCAAGCCCGTTCGCATTTCATAAAGGCAAGGTCTTTCACGCGGAAAAAAAAACGCGTGTGCGCGAGTAGTTCGATGACTAGGCCTACGCTGAAGTGACCAAAGACTGATTCTGTATCTTAGCGGATATTATACAATGCATGCATAAATCCCCGCCATCTTGCTATTGGATTGTTGATCACGTATCACTGAGTTATTCGTTCTATTCAACGGTATACCCGTTGAATACAGCTTCGATTATTTCACTGGTTTCCGTCCCGCTCCGTATGATATTTGCCTGATGGTTTTCATCTGTCAACTCATTATATTATTTTCAGCATGGCAACCATTAACATTTATTATTTGCATACTATCGCACGCGGCTGCAGCCGGCTGCTGTAATCCCGAAAAGCTGGGCATGCGCTGTTGGAATAATCAGCTTCACGGCTGTCTTTCAACAATACTGAGCACATACAAACTTCAGAATATTATAAGGCCTGTGTTGTCTCTCTGAGTTGTCGTTTTTGTGTCTTTCGAATAAGATAGGCCTATTTGAGAATTGACGCTTTCCACTCGTAATCAAAACAGGAGACATTTTATCGGCGATAGAACGAGGAAAATGAATGGCGAACTGATATCACAACGTCAACGTTTGTCCACCGTTGGTGATCTCCACAATGCTTCATGCTGATGGACCATTATGTTTTTATTTTTCTCTGTGAACTTCCAGTCCTGTGAATCATAGAACGTGCAAGCTCAACCTTACGTTGTTAGCAGGCTACATAATTTATGAACAAACCATAGTTATACTGAAAAATAGTGCCAAGTTGGAAACATTGATGATTAACCAGATTGCCCAACTAACAAGGCAACATAATTATATGAATTATATAAAATCACGCGTTTCTGACAAAATGTTCAGTGTAATAAAGTACGTGGATATAGACGCATCGATTCCTTTTCATTTCCTGGCCAAGAAGGAAGCAAGTGGTGACGTCTTTTGTTTGCGCGCTGTTTGCCTGCGAACGCTTATAGCTCGAGTAAATATCCATGAACAAAAACGACCGTTTGTGTGCTATAAGGTATTTAAAGCAATGGCAACACGCGCCGGCCGTTTGCGTTTGCTCGACCGACTGCGAAGTGTGCATGCTTCGGTCCATCCATGGAGCAATGAAAGTGGAATAAATTGCAACGTTGGTGGCGCAACCCCGCTCCTCCGTCTCGGCGCTGCAGAGAGAGTAGCGCCAACTTCCAACTTCGGAACCCAAATGGCTTTTTCATTTTTCGTGTTGTACAGCGTTGAGCTATTGTGTGCTTATTCTCCTATGTGCACTTCCGCAAAATCTACCATTTTGATTCCAAACAATGTCACAACCCTCTCTATAAACAGGTCTGATCCACCGTGCACTGCTCTTTAGGGGAAAACCTGTATGTGATGAAATGTGTGAGATGACTGATGTATACACAGTCAATGTTCATTACAGGAGGCATTGGTATAAGTAGGCTAGATCATCACAATTAAACTTCG